GCATGCGACATGCGATCACCGTACCAGGCGTCCAGCATCTACAAAAAAGTAAGGAATGACGTTGGCCCTCATTGCCAGTCTAGGTATCATGTGTTTTCCGTAAACTAGATGGTTATACCACCATCTACCAAATGTTAAAACTTTTAAGATATTTCCACAGTCGCATCTTTTAATTTCCACGAGACGAAATTGGTTAAATAATTGTTTTACACCGTTATTGTTACCGCTTCCGTTACAGCCCGTTAAAGTCCACTGCTGAGCATAGGCCTCCTCCATAGATCGCCTCGTAGGGGGGATATTTGTCATAATTGCCACTTTTGACGAGCGAGTTGCCAACCGCAGTTATTTATTTTTAGTCGTTATTGGAAGTGAAAAGACACTGCTGCCCATCTCCTGATTTGTTTACCTCTGCCGCCTCTCTCGACACCCACGGCATGATATGGGGTAGTAGATATTCTTATACCACCACTACACGTTTACCACACAGCAATACTACCTTCTGCATTATTTTGTATGGCTTATACTATGACTTTAAATATATTATGATTTAAATAGGATTTGAATAAACTGGAATGCATTATACGAGATAAAGGCAGGCGAGAATCGTTTGTCGGTGGGTATCACTCCGCAACAGCGATATTTTTTCTATTATAAAATATTTGTAAATAAAAATAACATTGGTTTATAATCGATACTCATGCATTTACACAATACAAAGAAAGTCAAATGTCGAAACTAAACCAACCACGCAACGATTCCCACCAGAGTTACACAATCGTGATACCGCTTTCCAACAAGATTATGGCGGTGTAGATTCATCGCTCAAACCAAGTTAGATTAAGTCTTGCTACATTGGATTAGAATTATTGTTTGCAAGTTTGTTCCTAAAAGTTCGCAAGGGACTTCGCAATTTTACAAAAGTTACTCGCAACTACCATTTCGGTTTATATTGGAACAAAATGTTTAAATAGCATAGGAGAATGCATTTTTAAACGAACTGCAGTCTCTAGTATCCTTAAGAAAGCTCTAATATTGATCTAAGTAATGGCCGAAAAGGGCTGAATTATTTCAAGATTTAATTATTACAATAAAGCTAATAATAAACTCAAAGTCGACCTAATTGTTAGTGACCACTACTGACAAACCAAAGACATTCAAATATATACGAGTGTTCAACCAACTTTGATGACAAAATTATATCTGTTTATTTTGAAATTAAAGTTTTGTTATAAAATAGGTAAATATTAATTTTAAAATGTTTTGATTTGATAAGTTATTATTTCCGACTAAAACATATGTGATAAGCACGTGCAAACAATTCACTTTACACGTAAATTTTTCAAAATCCAAGTTAGAGGCGGCAGAGAACGACGGTTTAAGGGTATTCACCACACCATTGGTCGCATGGGTGTTGTGAGAAGTCATTTTTGACAAAATATTGTTGTACTAAATTAACCATCTTCGATAAATTAAGTATTTCATTCGTATTATTATGCGAATTATAATTATAGAGAATTCCGTAAGGCAGTAAATCCGCCCATTATAATCCTTAGTTTAAGGTGCCTCACAATGAATGTATAACAAATTAATACTTAAACACATAAATAAATAAATGGCGCTATCACTATTTCATATAAATCAGATAAAAACACCCCAACTAACGTCGGAAAGTAGTGTCAAAGGTGCGACATATACATATAGCACTGCGATGTTCCGTTTGCAAAGGTTAACGATTATGATAAATTCATACAATAGGAGACTGAGTGTCAACGGTGAGCTATTAAGAGCTAATAGCGTGTTAAAAATCAACCAGCTCATGTATTACATTTGAATATCACATTACGTTTGACAAAATACATGTATAACTTAAATCATTATACAGGCCTACTCCACGCGGTATAGTACCAAGAACGTTAGCTGTAATTTGATTTCGTTGAACTTTTTTCTCGTACCTATTTTACACACATAAGGACGCCTGTCACCAAGAAGGGTAGGCAGAGACTACAGACTTCCATTTGATCTTGACACACCTCTCTCGCCCCCTCCACATCCATATACCTACGCATACATGCTAGTCGGTTAAGGGTACTCCTAATTTGGCCCATTTTCAATATATTGCCAATTTGATCGATAAACTTTCGCCTAAGACGTCCCTTTCTGACTCTGCCGTATACTTCTGCAACATAAATTTGCTTTGTCACTCTTTCCTCGTTCATTCGTTCTACATACATGAACAAACCACCGAAGCGTTCCTTTCTTAATCCTGGTCACAATATCATCTTGCACATCACGTTTTTCTGTTACCACACAATTTTTCACCCCTAAAAAAAATATACACCCTCAAATCCAAATCTTCATGGCCCCTCGCTAAAAAAAAATAACAAAAAAAAATAAATATATATATATATATATATATATATATATATATATATATATATATATTGGTGTCTGGTTATGTCGCTCAATTATGTGTAACTTGGTGTCGCAGCTGCGGATGCAATCATATTCCTTTTTTAAACTTTATATTAAATGAATCCAAAAAATTACAGACTTATTACAGCTTATATAATAATCAACACGTGTACTTGAAGTTTCTTAAAGTTAACTTTTTATAAAGTAACTGATTTACTAAATTTGGAGAAGGTGTAGATTTATGCGAAAGTTTCATCTATTTCATTAAACTAGATTCGAATACAAAAGTCTTATGTTTCACAAAGACATTGGTTTTAGTTGAATTGGAAATCTCGATGCAGCAGTAAATACCGTTATATCCTTGCATAACAATGTTTGTCTCTAGCTAAAAACAAAGATAATTTGTTACCTAAGTTTAATCTGCTAAACCGACAAAGCCCGTTATGACCACAGGTGGCACAGTTAGCTCTTAACCCAGTTTTAAAGCATTTAAAAGTTAGGTAAATATCTGACGGCGAAGTTCTGGTACTGGAGGCATTAGATAATGTGAAATACGATACTGCAGCGTACTACTTTATCGTCGTAATTCCTGTTAGAGTATGTACCAGGTTAAATGTTATATTATAAATTTGTCACGTTTTATATAAAAAATATTCTATCTGGGTGTCTTCACGGCAAGACTGAAAAGGCTTTTATTAAACTAAATCAAAGCGCTTTACCGTATTGGCTATATCACCACTTACCATGAGGTGAGATAGTACTCAAGTAGTAGCTTGTAATATGTAAAGAAAAATGTAAGGATAAATTCTTCAGATGATAAAGAGATACACACAGAATAGTACTACTCGTAGAAGTTATAATAGGTATCATTACAATTTTTGCGATCATACCTAAAGAATTATAAGTAAAGCTTTTGTGTCGCAAAACAAATTGATGATGAAAACATTTTACTTACACACGTAGTACAAGACTACTATGTTAAATCAATTATTGATCACTTGTCTTGTATTTCAAAAAAAATTAAAAGACTCTTCATAATTCAAGGAGTATAAGTAGCACTTCCATAAATTAATGAATAGATTTAAAAGGCCTTTGTCATAAGACATTCGTATATAGCCGTTATCGTTAAGAGCCTATTAAAGTCTACCGCTGTATACAGGCCTCCCCATAGGTTGCCTTATATGGGGGATGTTTGCCAAAGGTGCCACACTTGGTGAGCGGCTTGGCAACAGCAGTTTAATTTTATTTTTATTCGTTAATAGGAAGACGCTTCTGCCCATCTCCTGATTTGTTTCCCTCTGTCACTTCTTACAAGACATACGGGATGATATGGGATAGGTATTGGTTATTCTTACACCGCCACAACACGGCCCATTGTTGTAAAACACTACTGTGCTATATATGAATACTGAATAGTCCAGTTAACCAAAAACCACAAAGGACTAGGGCTGGTTGTATCACAGAATACTATAATACACAATAGAATGGCTGTCAACCTTACTTTGTAGGAGGATTGGCGTCGCCGGGTGCACACATAAAAGCAATTACGCCGTATTATCAGTTATCACTACTGCAAACACATTTTAGACTTTTGATTAATGTTTTTGAGACATAAATGTTTATTTTCTTTTTGTTTCTAATATTCATAAAATATAAACAGTTTCGACTTACTGGTTGTAGAATATGTTTTCTTTATTTTATTCCATTTCCCGCTGTTCTTTCGACACGTAATTATTCCATAATTTACCATTTTTTAAATAATTTGTATACATAGACGCTTGACACGAAAATTGGAAACAATTGATTGTGTTGACATTTATGCGTGTGAATTGACATGTTAGTGACATGTTAATGGCTACACTGACTCCGCCCACTCCCTTGTTCTATTATTATTATTATAGTTTTCTATGGGTTGTACCGAGAATCTCGTAAATTGTCATTCATCATTATCATTTCGTTATCATTATGGCTTATCAAAATCGACTGTTGACTATAGCCTTGCCATGCCTTCCAGAGATTGCGACATAGGGAGAATATTTCACATAGTTGCTGCGTTTTTCAGGCATTGCGGCAACCTAACGTGATAGAGCCATGCTGTAGCTATATTATAGTTGCAATACGAATGGGTCGGTTTGGCCGAGGAAGGACCACGGTCTCACAAAATACCAGAGTAAAATAACATCTTAACGCTACTGTCTTTCGTATGATGAGTATAGAGAACCGGAGACCCTCTTTACTGGAAACGGGGCATTTCATCTTACGACTAGTCTCCAAAGGCGGCAACGCATCTGCATTTTGAATCTCAATTGAGGACAAATATCTATGGGCGTCAGCATCCACTTACCGTCAGGTAAACTATGTGCACGTGTGTTACGCTTATACTATACAAAAACCGCAGTACTCTATTATTTTAAGTTGTTATCCGGCAAATACTGCTGCCGGTCTTCTGTGTTAGTTTCTCTGTCACTTCTTACCAGGGGTGATAATATGAGGAATCAACTGGATTCTCTAACGCCACTGCATGGTGATAAAAAATATAGCAATAACTTAAGATTAATATACTATGAAATATAGTAAATATATCTCACCGTAACAACATAAGAGAGTCCAGTCAGAGTAAGTCTTGCAACGCTGTCTTTCCCTGGGGGTGGAAATGGAGACGGCGCTGGCTCTTCAAGCGACGCCGGCGCCGGCAGTACGTCGGGCCGCTCCCGTGCACGCCCCCGTGCCTCTCTCGGTGCCGCACCCGACGCTCCATACATACTAGAGTAAATAAATATTTTTGAAAAACACAGTATATTTAAATACTGGCTTATAATAAGTAAAACACGATATTAAAACGAAACCAAGAATATTTCAGACCTTTTATGATTACTGATTATTATATATCCATTAATTACTATTGCACAACTTCACTATATTTACCTCTCTCTCTCTCTCTCTCTCTCTCTCTCCCTCTCTCTCTCACACACACACATCACTATAATAATCATTCTAAGTAGCTTACTTGGGCACGCTACAAAATGCAATAGTTCACAAACAATCCAATTTACACTCCCACTAGGACTAGACTATTCACTGAATTCGTTATTAACAATCTTCAATACATAATGATTTCTTATATTTACGCGAACACTACTCATATAAATAATATAAGTTTTTATGGGTTTTATCGCGTATATTACTTTTTTATATATAATGGATCCTTAAATTTACGCGAACACTACACATTGAATAAAATTATATTTACGGATTTTATCGCGTTTAATCAACTATTTTAACTTAGTTTTTAATTCCCGACGTTTCAGGTGCTTTACAGCACCCATGGTCACGGGGGGGGGGACTGAGATGTTTGACGTCCCAATGTAAAATAGTTAGTCCTACTACCTTCAGTTTTTGAATATTAATTTATAGTTAATGTTTAAGTTTTTTTGTTATATACCCGACGTTTTGAGCTCTTTACAGTACCCATGGTGCTGTAAAGTGCTCGAAACGTCGGGTATATATAAAAGTTAATATACGCGATATAATCCGTATAAACTTGTATTATTTAAATCTTAGTAGATGTAAATCATCAGTAATAAATATAAATACCACCTAATAAATTAAAAAAAATCGAAATCATGATGCGATATCTACCTATCACTGTAGTAGCACGCCAGACTCTATATGGCTCTACGTTTTATATGCAGCAGTGAGAATACTGTAAGCCATTAAATACTTTACTTTGTTCTTTTATGTAATTAATACCATTAGCCAGTAAAGAGTACCGAGGTTATTATCCATAGTCGTAAACCTTAAAAGTTGGCTTAACGATCGCAAGTTTGAAGTCTGGTAGCTTTGGTGCTGCTTATTTTTGCTGGTCTGATTACGTCACATCTAACATTTTGTCGAAATTTGTCGAAAGCAATTGGACGCTTGACGTATTAGGAGCGTGATTTCCTTCAACGCTAAACACGGCGATACTTAATAACTACCGATATGTGAAAGATTATCTAACCATAGATATAATATATCTGCAGTTTGCTCATTTACTAGCCTTGTAAAAAAATAGCTCATAACTTGAATATAAGTTATTGTTTTTTGTGTTCAGATCTGTAGCTCTATTTCAGTAATAAATGATTTTTATTTTATTTACTTCATTTTTAAACAAGAGTGTACAACCGATTCGTGTGACATAATATGTATCTGAGATATCCAAGACACGGTAAACACGAAATAGGGACAATATTTTTAGAAAGCGACAGTAGCTTAATGGCAGGGTGCGGACCGCGAACTCAAAAAGCTCGTGGGTTCGAATCCGCCATTCGACTACTGGCGTGAACCACTCGTAACACAAGCAATTTAAGCTTACCACGAGTGGTTAAGGGGAATATTAGTAATGTTTACAGCATTGTTGATATTCTTATAGTCCAAAAAATATATCAATAGTCTGCGAGGTTTTTAACAAATTTCGGGGGAACTTGATCCCTAGAGAACGCGTCCAGGTCGTTGAGCGCTCTGTAAGGGGTGTCTCGAGGGTTGAATGTAAGAAAAACACCCAGTGATGAAGGCTTTGGGATTCCAGAGAAGAGGAAAGGCATGGGACGCCCGTTAGCGACGTGGTGGGCAACCGTAAACAAGGATCTGGAACTAGCACAACTAGAAATACAGACAACTCTAGGTAGAATATCTTCTAGAATCTCTTCATAAAATCGATGAGAGCAGACTCCAAAAAAGGGACGAGGTATGGATGAAGAAGAAGAAGATCAATAGTACATGCGTAATATTACAATTAAATCCAATAAAGAAAATTCTCTTTGTTAAAGTTACACTTATTATTGATTTAAGATAAGCAGTTGCGAGTTGCAGTTGCTATTTGAAAACATTATAATATTTTCACTTAAGTTATATAGGTATATTCTAACTAAGTATGTCTATCGTATCTATTTTTTCAAGTCTTATAATAGCTTTACGAAATTGAATCGTTCTTATTAAAATTAATTTCAAACTTTTCTTTGCGATATGTTTATGCTAATGATATAAAAACGTACGTTATGAAATAAAATATTTGCAAAAATAAACTTCTAACTCAGCATTACAGACAAGAAATATATTCATCTATGTGGAGGCGTAAAAACATTTCTTATTTTTACTACATAAAATATACTATTCAATTCATATTCAAAAATGTGGTCGTTTTTATTTATAAAAAAATCTTTAAGAGCATTGTTGATACATTCGGACACATTTATGTTAATTAATAATTTATTTTACTTGTCATGAATAGAAAAGTAAGTTTTCTTCGTATATTAGAATTTATTAACATTCCTATCAGAATTACAAAGAATGTAAAGTATTCCAAATTTTAACTGCGCATTAGGAATTTTCAGTATAGCTCTGGGATTAATTTATCAGCCACTTATTTTAATTTTATAAATGCCAAAGTATTGGATTTTAAATACAATTTACTAAAAGTAATTAAATTTAATTAATTTTAAGTTGAAGAGTTCACGTCTACTGAAGTCAACGTTACGTTCTTCGTTCCGCTCTAATTCAAAACCTTGAAAAGATTCAGCTTGAATTACAAAATCGCTTTCAGTACCTAGAAGATTGCAATACAGTAGCCGATATGAAAAAACAAGCTCGTAAAATCTGTCTATGTGTACGGAGCTAAGTTCCGCAAGACCCGTTGCAGAAGTACAAGAAACTCTTAACCTAATGGCTAAATAACGAAATGAAGTTGCAGTTTTCATCGGATATGACAACTACAGGCAACTGAACAGAGTGATCACCAAAAACAAGCTGCGAGACTTACGCAACTTCCATACAGCACGTATCAAAGAAGCGATTGAGCGGAACCAAAATTCCAAAGTCTTTGTCAGGGATCTGTTTGCCGGAAAGAACCAGCTGTCTAAAAATTGAAGACCGAATGTTGTAGCATCTTGTATTGGAATTTCGACAATTCATTTATTTATTATACAGTCTGTCAAAAATCCATTTCTAAACATACGCCTCCCAATAGAGACTCATAGATGACATTTTGTCATAGTTGCTGCGCTAAGATTGATGGCAACCGTGTTTTTTATTTTATTTGAGTTATTATTATGAAGATACTGCTATCAATCTCCTATTTCATTTCATCATGGATAATATAGAGTAGTAAATTCTCTTACGCCGCTTCTACATGAACGAGACGTATACTTATATAACGAAAAGTTACGCGTTGGAAAATATTTGTAAAGGAATTTTGAAAGTGTCGACAAAAAATAAATTTGCATTAACTGTAGCATCATGGTGCATATATTTTTGATAATTTTTGTTTCTAACTTCCCGTTTCTAGAATATTTAATGAACGAAACAGCTGCTATACGTTCCGTACGTGTCGTTTTAGGCAAGTTTAGTGTTTTTTAAAATATTAATTTTTAAAACTTAAGGCATTATTTGTTCTTTGTACTCTTTATTATTAAGGATTATGTCAATAAATAAACGTGCTACTCTAATTTTCTATCAAGTTAATACTTTTTTATACTAGTGAACGGGCCAAACCAGCACGCAATCTACCTATTCCACCTAATGACAGGCCTGTTGGTCTAGTGGTTAGTGACCCTGACTGCTATGCCGGAGGTCGTGGGTTCGATTCCCACCCAGGACAAATGTTTGTGTGATGAGCACGATCATTTGTTCTGTGTCTGGGTGTAATTTATCTACAATATTTATGTATTTAGAAATATATAAGTATGTTTATCAGTTGTCTAGTATCCATAACACAAGCTCTGCTTAGCTTGGGACTAGATGGCGTTGTGTGATAGTTGTGGAATAGTATTATTATTATAATGGTAAGTGGATGCTAGGTCAACAGTCTCTCCATGTGTCCTAAATTGACAATAAAAGTGAAGATGTGATTTGGAGGGTGTAATGTTTATTACTACGTTCACTAGTTCCTTCACTCGGCTCGTCTACGCACGTACGCGTGCTCCTCCTACAGTCGCCCCGCATTAACAACCGATCATCATATACATGATTAACATGTGCGTACTAGGTGGATATAGTACATGTAAATGTAATTTATTCACATGCACTAAAGAGCGCTAAGGTGGAATGGCTCTTACCAGTAAAATGAACTCGTCACTAATTTTTTTTTTTTTTTTTTAGAAAAAATATTATTTAAAAATTATAATTAACATTACTAATATTCCTTTCAACCACTCCTGGTATGCTTGAAATGCTTGCGTTAGGATTGGTTCCGACAATCGTCAAATGGCGGATTTGAACCCTGCCATTAGGCTACTGTCATTACACAAAATACAGTAGTATTATGCTGGTTTCTGATGATGTGAATGATGTTAGCCTTTTTGGCTGTTATAACTTAATCGGTCTCAGAATTCGTCTATAAAAAGATGATTACATACCCTACGTCACTTACGTAACGAAGTTCACCTTTGACAGTTTACAGTGCACATAGATGAGTTATCTAACGGCCGTCCGAACAGGGGGTGGTGGACCCCAGCTATGACGACTAATTCGTATCGTTCAATGTTTTGGACGATGATAACTGCCCAGATACAAGAGTTTACGGTATATACGCGGTGTGGAGTGGTGTGCGGTGCACCCGTCTTCGGACTCGCTGCATCCGTTGACCGTTGCAATATTTGTGACGCTAACTGATCGTATAGTGTTTAATGTTTATGTATAACAGTCTGGCAAAATTTGGGTCGTCAGAATCTAGTAAAACTAGGGGTCTAATTAGAACTCCTCCTCGTCAGGCCTCTGGAGACTTTCCG